GGCTGAAGTCACACAGAAGTCACACATTTGGAAGTGTTACAGCCTCCATTTTAATTGCTTCCTCTTTAAACGTGGCTTGTTATTTTTTCAGTTTGTTGTCACACTGGAGTTGCTACTCTGTACTTTTTGCAATGAGTGTTTAATATAAATTCTCAAAATATAGACAAGTGTTAGCAATGAGGGCGACTGACAGTGTGTATGTCCATATATGTAGATGTTTATGGTGAGGGGTGGGGGGCTTGAAATGTTTTCATCTGCCAAAGGGGGTGCCGGCAGAAAAAGAGGACACACTCACTCAGACTGATTCCTTGTATGACCTGCAGGGGGCAAAATATCAGCAAAACCATTCTTCATACTGAGGACTTAGTTTATTAATCAGAAGCAAACCTGTCCTTTATGTTCCCCAGTCAGTTTCTTAAATTAAAATGAGTTTAACAGACAGAAATAGTGCTTAAGTAAAAGTATTTATTATTGCTCTGAGCTGGTTTAGCTAGTTTAGTTCAAAAATAGAACCAACACAAGGAACATAACAAGAGTGATCGAGCCACCATACTAAATTCACCTTTTTAGTATAAGTTCATGGTGTCTATGTGTTCTTACACTATGAATTAACAACAACGTTTGATTGTGTGCATCCCTAAATTATTAACACGAGTGTCAATGATTACTCATTTCTATCCAGAATGATGACATTCCAAACATGCAGCAAGTTACCAACCAGTTTTCTTTTTAAAGCTTTCCAACAACTGGCCAATGGGGCTCTATTTCCTGTTTCCCAGCACTGCTACATACAGTGTTGTTTCACCCGGCTGCATGATTTAAGTTACTCCCACAAAACTCATGCAGAGCATTGGCTACTTCACATCAAGAACAATAGAAAGCAGTTGGTGTGCTCTGTCGCTTCCAGGAGATGAGTTTCACCAGGCAAGCCAAATGATGGTGTTGACTGAGGACTCATTCGGGACTTGAACTTGAGGATTTATGCTTTTTTAAACTGTGGATTTCACATTATTGTATTTAAAAAGAATGTCACTCCCGGAGGAGGATCTTACATGCCCAATTTGCTGTGACATCTTCACAGACCCCGTTTTGTTGGCATGCAGTCACAGCTTCTGTAGGAGCTGCCTGAGGCGCTGCTGGGACAACGGCTTACGTGAGTGTCCAGTGTGCAGAAAGAGAGCCTCTAAGTCCAGTGCTCCTTCTAACTTGGCTCTGAAGAATGTGTGCGAAGCTCTGTTAGAGGTCAGGAGGCAGAGCTCAGTAGTGGTGGAAGACAACACAAACTGTAGTCTACACGGGGAGAAGTTAAAGCTGTTTTGTCTGGTTGACAAACAGCCTATCTGTGTGGTGTGTCACTCTTCTAAACTGCACAAGAGCCACGACTGTTCGCCTATCGAGGAGGCAGCACTGGACTGCAAGGTAGGGGGAAAAAAACAGATCAGTGTGTTCCTGACCTACATTGCAACATCAACCCAATAAACTGACTCTGCTGTTTTGTCAACCTGAAGTATTTAAGGTAACACCTAAAGGTAGAATGCAGTCCCACAAGTCTGTCCGGATTGTTACCTTTTAGCTATCTGAGCTTTAAAACAAATCAAAGTACTCCTTATATACTTCAACACTATACCATTTAGATAACTGATTTCTTACTGTGGGCCTGCTTTATTTACAGGATGAACTTTCCGTATCCCTCAAGAGCTTGCAAGAAAATCTGGAAAGCCTCAAAAGAATTCAAGAGACCTCTGCAGACACATTCAAGTTCATTAAGGTAACCTGTGACACAATGACAGAAAGTTTGGGATTTAAAAAAAAATCTGTTCAAATAAAGTAAGAATGTGCAATTATTATGAATTCTTAGACTCAGGCTCTGGAAACGCAGAAATTGATCAAGGGCCAGTTCGAGCAGCTCCATCAAGCCCTCGACCAGGAGGAGTCAGCCAGGATAGCAGCTGTGAAAAAAGAAGAGGAGGAGAGGATAGCGGCATTGAAGGCTAAGATTAAAGAACTGTCAGCAGAAGTGCTGAACCTCACAGAGATCATCTCAATCATACAGGAGCAGCTGAAAGAAGAGGATATGGTCTTGATGAAGGTCTGTCACACTTCTTTAAATGTCAAGTTTTAAAATCATTCTTCCCCTCAAATGACCCACTTTTAATCTTTCTTTTTTCCAGAATTTCAAAGACACTCAGGAAAGGTAAGTCAGCGGAGTGATGCACTTACGCCGGTCTTGCTTTGATGTGTTGTCTCAGTGTGAGGTTTCTGTTGTTATCACAGAGGGAAAAGTGTAGCGCTTGGTTCAGACAGCATATCTGGGATACTGATTGATGTGACCAAGCATGTTGACAACCTCAAGTACAGAGTCTGGGAGGAATTGCTGGGCCAAATAGATTATAGTGAGTATATACATTATGTTAATTTCCTTTAGTCTTAAAGACAAAAGGTGCAGAATTGTAAAAACCCAAACCCTGTTTAATATTTCAGTCCTTTTGTTTGGCTCATTTCCTGTCTTTTAGCCCCAGTGACTTTGGACCCAAACACAGCACACCCCTGCCTCATCCTGTCTGATGACCTCACTTCTCTCCAGTACTCAAAGCGGGCCAGCTGTTGCCCTGACAACCCAGAGCGCTTCCACATCAGCGCTGAAGTGGTGGGCATGGCTGCGCTGGGTTCAGGAAGCCACCACTGGGTCGTGGAAACAGGAAGTAATCAGGACTGGCTCCTGGGCGTGGCCTCTTTGTCTGTACCAAGGAACACAGAGGTCTCTGCTCGGCCCGAGAACGGCTTCTGGACCTTGTGTTTCCGGGATGGAGAGTTCAGGGCAATGACCTCGCCCCCAGCTCCACTGAAAGTTCCAAGACCACCCAAACAAGTCAAAGTGCAGCTGAATTACAACAAAGGGACCATTTCTTTTTCCGACCCTGCTGATGACAAGCTCATTTATGAATTTACAACAACATTTAAAGAACCTTTGCTTCCATATTTTTATACACAGAGCAGCCACCCACTGAGAATAATGTCAGAAAAGGTACTTATCAGAATGTTGCGCCAATAAGTCGATTACTGATTCAATAATTGGATCTCAGTTCTGTTTCAATGTAAAAAAATATATATATATTTTAAGGGTTGGCTCTAGTGTTAACGCCTCCCACATGAGGATGCAAAGCATTCTTAACCATTTTGAAGTTTTATTGATTTGTCCTCTTTTAAAGCTCCCCTGAGGAGTTTTTAAATGGTTATCAAACAGACTGAAATTAAAACTGATGCCTCTGAAAGACCCAGAAAAACAAACTAGACCATCAGTGACTAGATAGATTATTTCTATGAAGTTATTTATTGTGTCTGAAACCACTGCCATGAGGTAGGTGTCAGATGAATTGAGTGCAATGAACCTGAGAGATATGTTTGACTGTTTAAAGACAGATGGATGAAGTTCTTTTTGTTAGAAATTACTACTTAGACATATACGGGACAAACCAGCAAAGTCTAATAGTCTAACAGATACCACATTGTCAACAGAGGTTGCTAAAACCCAAGGTTCCTTACAAGACCTTTAAGGAATAGTCAGACATCTTGCAAAATACACTTGTGCTTTTTTGTAAACAATTTAGCGAAGATTTCTACTGCCCCCAAGTCTGTATAATAAGTTACCAACAGGAGCTGGTTAGCTTAGCATAGCATTTACACTGAAAACAGCTAGCCTGCTCACAGGTAACAAAATCTACATTCTAATCCCTATAAAGTTCACTATCATACCTTATAATATTTTATTGTTGAATCTGTGGAAACATAATCCTTCAGACAGGTACTAGCGGTGTCCCCCTTTTTCCGACTTTTAGCTTTAAATACACATACTTGACAACCAAGTGAGCAGCATTAGTCTTCTGATATGGGGTCTACAGATAGGGGTGATGATTAGTGGTGCAGCTTGGGCTAATATGATTTAGGGATCCATAAAGTTGACTTGGCTTGCCTTGACATCTTTTCCCATTTCCCAGCATGTGGAATTATTCCTTAGACAGCAGTGCTCTGATTGTCTTATTCCTCCATTAGTGGCAAGTATATGGTTAATTAGCAAGGGTATCAGTCAAACTTTCTAAAACGCTGTATTATGTAATGCACTTCAAAAATAAGCTGTACTAAATGTGGGGTTTTGAGGTTGTCCATAAATTGGGTTTTTGGTGTGCAGGACACCTCTTTATTCTCCTGAATTGTCTGCCTTTATCCAATGAGTGACACAATTGAGCAGGTGTTCCATGTTTCATAAATGGATGATAACCACATCATGCAAATTCACCTCTGCAAAAGAATCAACATGCACTTTATCAAATTCAATCATACACATATACACTGATCATTGTGTAAATTTGAGTGGGTAAGAGGGATTGGCCTGTACAGTTCTGTTAATTAATCTCTTTGTACACATGATGGCGCCAAAGTCAAACATTTATTATGAAGGATTTTATTACAGTGAGGACTACTTTTAACACTTAAACCTCATTTGGTAAAAGTCAATCAAGAACATGATCAGTCTTAGCAAACTTGAAATTAAACTGTTGATTTTCCACCTTTGACTCATTCTTGATGCATAGTTCTAAGGTTGCTTTGTGTTACTTAACATAATTATCTTTTCACCAAAAACAAACGTTTGAAATATATCTCAAAATTAGATCAGTCACAGCAAAACAAATGCATTGAATTGCAGCATTTCTTTAGAACCATTGTAGGAAAATTATCACCAAGGTTCAATGTGCGTTATATCTTCAAAAGCTAAGGCTGTTGGTTTTGAGCAGGTGGGGTTTTGTTGGGCTCTGCACAGACGCAGGGGCACCACTTCTTCACACAGGTTTCTGGGAGAAAAGGAACCTTTTCCAGACGAGACAGATAGACAAGTGGCTGGATGGTGCTACTGATGTTGAGGAAAGCGAAGCCCACAGGCTGTACATAGCAACGAAACCCATCGGGGGTGTAGTAGTCTTCAGAGGGAAACAGCGCTACAAGTGGTAAGTAGTTAAACACGATGATACAAAGGATGGAGAGCACCATCTTGAAGGCCTTTTTCTTCATGGGGTGCATCTCATCTTTTCCTGCTCCACGGGACTTCTTCAGTGTCCACAGGATGGTTCCGTTACACATAACCATCCAGCTGAATGTTGCCAGGACCTCACCGGTGAACACTTTCTCAAAGTTGGGGAAGCCACCAACAACCTTGGCTGCTGAGTAAGCAAAGGTTAGGCAGAGGACCAGAATGGTGAGGCTCAACCTGTACTTTATGTGTTTAAGCTGCCCGAACATGATTGGAAAGATCACAGCTATAAAGCGATCCAGGCAGATACAGGAAAGAAACAACGGCCCACTGGTGTCTTTCACACCGTAAGAGAACTTAATGGAAGACCACACCCCCTTGCTCTGCCAGTGGTAAAGGTTAAGGAAAATGATAGGGGTCATGACACCGAAGTAGGCGTCCATGAAGGCTAGACAGCCCAGGAAAATGTCTGAGGTGGAGGGATCTTTGCGGTTGTGGATGAGGATTGCAATGACAAGTATGTTTGCAGGGATTCCGACAACTACGTTGATGCATTGAACGGTTAGGTCAAAGAGGATGCCCTCCACCTGATTATCACAGCCGTCAAACACACTGAAGGGCTTCACTGTGGCGTTGATGTCAGCGGTTACATTGAAGGGGAACAGAGTTGGGATCGAGGTGGAGTTGAGTGGTAAGGATGCATTTCTCTCCATGATTCTGCAAATTCAAATAAAAACAACAACAACAGGGCTCTAAGGGAGAAGTAAGAAAACGTTCATCAGGGTTTAAATTTATAATCTACTTCAACAGCTGCTCACTTAAAACTTTCACAAACTGTTGTACATTTTCTTAAAACCTAGGTCTCAATAGGAATTGTGTTTGTCATGAACAAGTGGCACAGCCTCGGCCATGTCGAATGTTCACTGCGAATCCTTGTGATCCTGTGGTGTTTATTCTCAGTTGAGCTAAACTATAGCCGTGGAGCAAAGTGAACACCGAACCTGCAGAGTAAAAAAACATGTAGCAAACACCATAAGGGCTTTTCCTCGGGCTGTTTTCTTGTTAGTGTGCACATCCGCAGGGAATGTGACTCCCTGTATGCAGGGACATCTAACCCACTTTAGGGACATCTACAAAAAGCCCCACCCTTTGAGAGCTGAATAAAAGGGCAGCTTTATCCAAATGAAAAGATTCAAGGTTTACATTCTGCATGTAGACATTTGAATGATGTTTTTAGTAAGGACAGAAATGTGAATATCCTGGTCCTCTTGAGAGTATGTTTCTTTGATTTGCCGACCTATTAAGCAAATTCTGACCGAAGAGGATGGTTGCAAAAAAAAATACTTTTAACTGAGGTTGGTTTGATTTTCGCTTTTTATTGAAGTTACTTTAACTCAAATCAGACGTAAAGCATAAAAATGAAAGATGCCTTAAGCATTGCTATGTGTTTTGTTTTGGCTTATATTTTGCTATTCAAGCCCTGGTTTTGTTCTTGGATCAAGGACTATTTTCGGCAGTTCTGACTCAGACTGATTCACACCAGGTCTTTGAAATATCGAGTCTTTTACATGCAGTACACCTGAGCTCCCTCCCTCTCTCCCTCCCTCCACTGAATGGACTATTGGAGCCAGAGGCTGTGACCGTTCCTCGTACAGCCATCAAGGGACCTATTCCCATTTAATGGTGGACCTTTCTCGACTTTGCTCCCTCAGTGGATGCTATTTCTCACCTCTCTGTGCCGCTGGCTCTACCTCAGGCCACACACACGTTCCTGAGGGGCTAATCACACTGACGGAGGAGTGAAGAGCTTTGCCAAGATGCTTTGTCTCTGGAGATGGCAGATTGAATCAATTGTAATCATCTGCAGGCATATCTCGTGAAAAAGAAAAATACAAAACAGAATATTTAACAGAATTTTGAAGCATTTATTTAGCTGCTGAATACCCTAAAGTATAATTAAGATCTTTTACATGCAATCTTTAAAAATGTCAAAGGAAAGTTGCCTCAGGAAGGGGCATGTGTTAACCGATTGTTTTGTGTGTTTTTTGTCCTTCACTCATTTAGAAGCTTTAGTCTTTGAAAGTCTGAACACATTTCTTTCACTATTTTGGAATTTTAACCACTAAAACATTGTTGATCAACTTCTAAATGTGTCGCTCTGCAGATTTAAAACTGTTGGTATTTAAGTGAATTTGATATATTTTGAATCCTTTAGCAGTTACTTCAAAATAAAAACTTTCTGTCTCTCTTTATTTTCTTTGTATTTAAAAAATAAAAGCATGGTTCTTACTAAAGATAAAAGAACTTTATACGACTTAAAACTTAATTAAAAAGACTATATATCAACACTGAAAATGATTTTCTATGCATACTTACTTTTGTCCAGAAGTGAGAATACAAGATTTCTCCAGTCAAATGACCTACATTTTGAAATTGAAATGGATAATAGGTGAGTGGGATGCAACTTCAATTTCACTCATACACACTCATTCATCCAAAATTAATTGTGAAAAGGAGTAAACCCCCTCTTTAGGTGAACATAAATGTAGATGAGATGCATGCATTATTATTATGTTAATGGTAATAAATAAATGCAGTTTAAAATTAAATCAATTTTACTCAATGAAATATTGTTTTCACTCACCGGTGTGTAATATTCTTCTGTCGTAAGTGTGATGCGGTGTGTTCAAACATTAACGCGTTTTATGGCAGGAGTCCTTTATAAGTTCTCCACCATGTCCTAGATTTGACGCTGACCAGGAGGGGAGGATCTTCTGCAGTATTTTTGATGTCCTGAGGGAATAGGGCCTCTCTAAGTTGTGTGTTTGTTATTGTGATGCCTCCAAGTGCTCTACACCTCGACTTCTCAGTCATTTCAAAACAAAAAAAACAGCTTCACAACATATCAGTCTCAGGAGGTTTTGAATCAATGAAATCAATTCTAACTCTTAAAAGGACAAAACAGAAAGAAAAGAAAATCCAATACTTTACAATTAATGTAAAAAAATACAAGTGGTTTTCCTCTGTAATGCAATGTAATGTAGATTAAACTGGCTCACTGTTCACCTTCTAACACTGCTTACAGATAGATGAATCACTACTAACAATGTCATAGTAACTCAAGCTACTTCACTTTTTTTATTGTTGGCTCAGAGCACATTTCATTCCTCTATTCTCATACTTGTTCTAATGCATGAACTTTACTTACTGTGGAGTATATCTGTGTTGCCCTATTTTTTTTTTTTGTTCTTAAGTAAGGGAGCTGTTTACGTCTTCCACTCCTGCCAGAGGTTATAAAAACGAGTACCGCTCTCTCGCTCCCTTGTCTCCTGGGTCGTCAGTCTGGGCTTGACAGGTGGATTCAGGGAGCATCATGGGACCGGTCTGGCTATGATGCTGTGGGTTTCCTCCAACGATATGTGTCATCATCACTCACTTCATCCTTCCCGTCCTGTTACAAGAGAAGATGAACACACATGCATAAGGAAAATATAAATGTCAGTAACGTCTTGTTTGGTCAAAAGCACACCTTATAATCACTTTATTTGAAATCACACAGCCTGAACAGAGCTTGTAGAGTCCATCTGAAGTGTTCATCAGTTCACAACTTAATATGATATGAATGTTAAAATATATAGAGTTTGAATGGTGTGAAGTCTTTGTGTGAGCCTGTGTCAGAGTGTATTTACATAGATTGTTTTACAAGGCCCTTAATTCAATTTTAGTCCCTGCTTGGGTGACTATGAACCCCGTTCCCATGGAAACACAAAGAAAAAATGCCACCTGATATATTTTCTTATTGATGTGAAAATGACCGGACAAAACAGTCAAACAGAATGTGGTAGTCTTATTAGGTTGCATTTACTCTTTCTGGTCTCTGGGGGCAGTAGTGGTCTATGCTTCATTCGAGATAACTCAGTGAGGAGAGCAAGGTTTCACTTAGTTATAAAATAACGTTATGTTTAGGCTACACAATGGTAAACTCCCCCAGGGCAGTCTGAGATTGGTCAGGTTGTATACATTTTTTTAACCAATATATTTTTTCCTTTCAGCTGTTTCATTTGTTTTGGACTTTTGTATCTGCTTTTGAATTTGCAGCGTTTTTCTTAAAGAGCCCATATTATGCTCTTTTAGGGGTTCGTATCTTTAATCTATGTACCTACTTTTGTACGTTCACAATAGATAAAGTTCATAAAAAGTGTCTGTTTTCATGTACTGCTCCTCCTTGCTCCCTCTACGCTCTGAGTCTGTCAGCTATAGGTCTGCCGATCCGCTCTGTCGTTATTGGTCAGTTGCTCAGCACGCCTTTCGGAAATTTCAACATGAGCTGCAGGGCTTGCCACAACGAGCCAATGGGCTTAAATCAGTGATCTCACACTGACAATGACGTCGGACTGATGCTCGGCTAGAACCGAGCATTACATGCAGTAGTAGAGGAACTTGGGCCCCTAAAAGTTGAGATACCCCTACCCGAGGTAGAACAAAGCACAACCATATTTTTTCATAACTTGAACATATCTAGTTTATGAAACGGATGGTTGTATAAAAATATTTTACTGCAAAATAACTTTTTTTGGATGTTTTATGCATCTTACCAAAAAATGAAAATAGGTCAAATTAAGGCTTCTCCAAAAGGGACAGCTCTAGCCTTATCATGTGTATCTCTGGGAATCAGAATCAGAATTTCACCAAATGTGGACAGGATGTTCACGGATAGTTATTAGTAACAATCAAGCAAAGTTTTTATCAATACCATTTTCAATTTTGGAATTCTTCACACTTACACACACATGTAGTTTCGGCGGAAATTGAAACAAAAATTCAAAAGGTACCGTATTTTCCGCACTATAAGGCGCACTTAAAAGCCTTTAATTTTCTCAAAAACGACAGTGCGCCTTATAATCCGGAGCGCCTTATATATGGATCAATTGGTTAATTGGTTGATCCATACTGGTTGTACACGGCGCTCAGCGACACTGACTCGGATAATGACGAGAGGGAGCCGGGCATGTTGGATGCCGTACTCGCCCAACTGTTCAATTCGGACACTGAAGAAGAAGAATTCGAGGGATTCGTGGACGGGGAATGAACTGAAAAAGTGAGCTTTACGTGTTATACGTAACTGAACAATGTTGAGTTATGCACGTTTGAATTAGCGGTATCAGACTGTGTTTCTTTTACGTGTTTACAACTGAACAAGGCTGGGAGATATTGTGAATATGCACATTAACGTTTGAACAACGTTGAGTTATTGTGAATGCACTACGTATAAAACGTAGTTTTATACGTATTTATATTTATATATTCACAATATCTCCCAGCCTTGTTCAGTTGTAAACACGTTCTATTCTATGTGCCTTATAATCCGGTGCGCCCTATATATGAAAACAGTTCTAAAATAGGCCATTCATTGAAGGTGCGCCTTATAGTGCGGAAAATACGGTATGTATATCTATATCTATATAAGTCTGTCATTTTTTAAGTAAGGACACCAAACATTAAAATATGTAATTTTTATCTTCCTTAGACTGTTATCTCAACAAAAGTTATTTGACTTTTCACTTGAACCTATGCTGTCACCAGCCCCTAACAGGAAACTAGTGCAGCCAGGATTTCAGGGCGACCTGGTACAATGGGGCCCTATGGATGTGTATGTGGGAGGAGGTGGCCACAAACAATAGATTAAGACTTAACAAGACACAATATAATTGTATTCTGTAATATATATATATATATATATATATATAATTAAACATTTTATAGTTATTCCTAATACATTTTGTCTCATATTTTCTATCTTACATATGATTTATATGATGACACTCAGAATCAACTCACTGCTTTCAACAATATTGTCACCTATGACATTGTTTCTATTTCATTCTAAAAATTAAAGCATTGTCTTGCCATCAGTTGTGAAATATTAATGAATGAATGATGAATGATGAACTAAAAAACAGTATTGATATATATAACCTTAAGTTCTTAGAAATTAATTATACTTCATGTAGTCTATTTGTATATTGGCTACACAGCCTGTTGTAGTTTTTTAAATGTATTTCAGTCGTATAAAGATGGTGTGTAGTCACCATATCTCCTGCTTTTAAGATTAACCCTAGCTACTCCAGAGGATACACTGGATGAAGGGATAGTTTTTATAATATCCTAAGTGTGATAAAGTGTTAAAAAAAAGCTACAATAGCTATTTTTGTTGAATGATTTATCAGGCAACCAATGGAGCTGGGATACAAAACAATTCTTTATGATGGCGTAAATGTGTGTGAGGTGAATTAGGATAATAATCATGCAGACATGTTTATAAGAAACTTCTTTATACACTTATTTTACCTCATTATATATAATGACATTTAATTTTAAATGGTAATTACAAAGGATGATTTTCACTTTTAGACAAAATGACTTTGAACCTGAGAGCTTAACACTGTTCAACTAAAAACCTGTGTCACACTAAGCATCCCCTGGGGACAAAGTTTGACCTCTTACCTCTTCACTGATCTTGTCCTGTGCTTGTGTAAGTTGTGTTTACTGATGAAAATCTCCTTCTGCTAAGTTTGAACCGTCAAATATATCCCTAACTCTGAATCTTGGCTGTAGAAAATGACACCAACACGCTGAATGCAGTAATGAATAAGAAAAAACGTCACAGAAAAAAAAATAAAAAATAATAATCTTCTATCTTAAGGTCTTGTTTGCTTTTGTAAACCATTTAAAGATATTAGTCTAAGTTTCAGTGAGCTCCATAACCAACTAAAACAATCCAACCAGGAGCTTTAAGAAAACAATTGCTGAAGAAAATAACCATCAACAAGGTCAACCAATCAAACAAAGACACCACAACCAAATGAAGACACCATAACCAAAGCCACCACAACCAAATTAGGACAACATAACCAAATCAAGACACCAAAACCAAAGACAACACAACCAAATCAAGACACCAAAACCAAAGACAACACAACCAAATTAGGACACCACAACCAAATCAAGACACCAAAACCAAAGACAACATAACCAAATCAAGACACCACAACCAAATCAAGACAATGTAACCAAATTATTATTGATGATGATGGTAATGACGATGTTTTTTGTTTGATAAACATGATGTAAAGGTGGTTTCTATACTGATTGAACTCCCAAGAACAGCTGTCAATGTTGTGCTTTGCCTCTGTGTACTGCCTGTAGGCAGCAGTGTCCGATCTGACTTAAAGCTGTTCATGTGCACTTACTGACATTGTTTTCCTTTGCTCTAGATCCTCGCTTTTGTTTTACTTACTCTCAAATGTATGTTGCTTTGGATAAAAGTGTCTGCTAAATAAATTGTAGAATTGTAGAAATACATTCAACACAATCAAATACAGCAAAACAAAGACAAGGCAACAAAAAGTAGACAATACTGACACAATAACCACATGCAGCCAATACATCAAAATGCAAGGAAAAGACATTACCATCTACAGGCAATCCATGTGGTGATTGGACATTTCTGTGTATTTTTCCTTGTTTGGTGCTTGTGTTTTTTTTCTTTCAGAGGCTGGGTGTGGCTTATTGGCTACTGGAGCTCCCTGCAATCACTCACCTGTTCATCATCTGTAATCACCGGCTGCAGCATTGGTTCAACTCTCCCAAGCTGCCAGATTATTTCCGCCTACACCATGGTAGATCGGCTTCTCAGTATCAGTAGACTTTTTTTGTGCTTTGGATACCTGTCACTAATTATTCCCTTGTCTTCTTTTTTCCCCAGTGCCTCCAACCAACGAGCTTCAGCGCCTCACCACCCAGCCTCTCATTCAAGCCTCACCAGCCTTCACAAGCCTCACTTCAATAAATACCCCTTTACCCACCACCCTGTTTTCCGGTCTTGCTTTTGGGTCCACTTAAAAATCTTTAAGATCATAACAATCCAGCCACAGACAATAGAATATAGCTAAATGTATTTTAAAACAAAAGTTGTGTGTTTGGTTATATGTTGTCATTTGTCTTATAGATTGTTGCATATGAATGTAGAATCTGAAGGGGGCTATTATCTTTGGAGGCAGGGCAATGTTGATCAGACGCTTAATGCTCATCAGACTAAAGCCAGTGGGTGAACAATTGATTGTGATGCCTGCGTAAGGTTTTGCCATCTGCAATCTTTTCTATTGTATATATTTGGTTGTGTTTTCTACATTTGGCTGTGTACCATTTAAAGTACAATATGTTTTGTGTAACAGATTATAACTATATGTGAACATCCTGTCCAGGTTTGGTGAAATTCTGATTCTGATTCCCAGAGATACATGTGATAAGGCTAGAGCTGTCCTTTTTGGAGAAGCCCTAATTTGTTTTTTGGTAAGATGCATAAAACATCCCAAAAAAGTTATTTTGCATTAAAATATTTTTTTATAAAGAACCAAAAAAAATTAAATAGTACAAAACACAAAATGTACCAAATATAATCGTGGACAAATCTATTCTACTATGATATTTCTAAGGATTAAAAATCAAGAACCATTTGTTTAAAGCACTGACCTGCAGAACATTATTCTGGTCCGCTCATGGTTCATAAAATAGTAACTAAGATGAGTCACCTCTTACATAAACACACGGTAAAAATCATCATGCTGTTAAGACATTTCTCCTGCTTCCTTGCATTTCCTGTTTCAAATCAAATATATTGTTGTATAATGCAGCAGGCGCTGTACAGTAAGGGCCATCAGTCAGGATTCGACATCTTTTGTATCTTTCTCTCCAGTCAATAGAATAAGATACCACCACCATAAATATAACATGAGTAATAGTTGACACTGTGCAGAAAGTATGCTTGTGAAATCTTAAACACATGTCAACACCCTCATAGAATAATTCATGTATAATTCCATTAAAAGTCACAACGATAATGAGAGTAAACATATGATGATGGTGAAATATGATTCACAACCTGTGCAAATCAATGACAACTCTTTGATGGATTTCCACATTTTATTTCAAACAAAAGTATGCCTCACTCAGGAAAAACAGTAATTGCATAAAAAGATGGCGGCACCTTCTGAAAAAAGAGGGCTACATAACGGGTTGCAGAGGCTTCTCCCAGTTATACTCTGCTCTTAAACACAACTGGTTCTTAAAAGGTCTGTTCTTGGCAGTTGTGTGCCCTGTTTTTAACCACCATATGTCCTGTTTTCAACTGCCATGTGTCATGTTCTTCTTTTTACGTATGTGACATGAAATGGTATGATACGATACACCACAATAAGATCCGATACAATAAGATATGATACGATACAACATGACACGATACAATACTACACACTAATATCCGATATGGCTTATTTACAATATAATATGACACGATATGATACTATGATTTATGATCAGATACAATACCAAACGACACAACAGCTTTTTTATTGTTTTGTTCTCTGTAATGGATGTGAGGGATGAAATTGAGCTTCTGAATTGCAGGAACAGAAACCATCATGTATCACGTCTGCCAGGAGACTGCAAGTTGGAAGTTGGAAAAAAAAAGTAAACCGTGGAGCAACTTCAATTAATCATAAAGCCTGTTGAATAAAAGAAGAAACAACACAAAGAGAGAGGGAGTAGAAAAAAAAGGGAACACAACTTTTCCTATATGTCTTTAAAATCAATCACTGGACAGCTCAAGAACTTTTTTTTAAGGTTTTTTTTAAACTTTTGTTCGGTTTGATTTAATAAAAGGGTGTAGTAAAGTGAATACTTCCAACAGATTTTCTCTGTATATATGCAGCAGTTGTTTTAATTTCTGCTAGTATGAATGTAACTACAAACTGCCTGTGCTGCACTCCGGATGATAAATAGGCATTTGCATGTGGTGTGCAGCCACTGGAGTTTTGATGTATGCAAATAAGCTGCATGGCCTGTAGCCAAAATAAAAAGAATGGGCATCCCACCAGCTTTATCCCTGTTATTACAATTATTCCACTCAACATGCAGTCAGTACCTTAATCACGACTCTTTCATCTTCGGGCAGCTCACTTACAAACAAACACTCATTTAATTTCATAAATTTGAGTTTCATTTAATTTCCATTAGCAATCACTTTTCTAAATGTCATTAATTATGACATTAGACAACAGGATGTGATTTGTAGTTTGTGTTTTCAGTTTTCACAATGCATTAACAGCTGTGAGACAGAATGAAGCCCTAATTTGACACTGGGTAAAATAAACATCGGGGGATTTGTGATAATGAAAGGTTAATCCAGTTTACTGATGTTGGAGAAACAAAGACGAGCAGAGTTTTGTGACTTTGGTTTTAAAGTCACTTAAAAAGACAAGCCTCTATTAAGATCATGTTGTAGTCATGCGTCATCTGGAGAATAAAGGGACAGCGATGTTTTTTTCTTCATCTTTTTATGTCTTTATTGGAGAGATAGGACAGTGGACAGAGTTGGAAATCAGGGAGAGAGAGAGAGTGGGGAATGACATGCGGGGAAGGAGCCACAGACTGGATTTGAATCTGGGCCACCCGCTTGGTGGACTATAGCCCGCTTTGCACCCTCACTAACCACAGAGCCCCGGGACAGCAATGTTTACATGAAAATAAAATGAATAATGGAGAACAGACTGGTCCAGATGTCTTGACTCACAGACACAGATTTATTTAACTCAAAGTATATATTGCATGAAGGACAGTGTTAATATGTTCATATACTGTTATCTTCTCTTTCTACTTATAAGACGTCATTGAGTTCTCAGTGATCCCTTTCAGACTGAGCCTGTTATTTGAAGTAGTGGCTAAGCTGTGTTTGGTTGAATGATTAATCTAATTACAGAGTAGATGGTCATGATTTGAGTCAATACAGCAATTATTGGAAGTGTGGAAAATGCTGTTTTTTGTTTTTTAATTGTTGGATATTGTATTTCCGAGCAGCAAAATAGACAAAATCGTGCTGACAAAGAATTTCCACTACTTACTGGGCATGTCATTGTTTTAATTTCGCAGCAATGACAGGATTCACAAAAGCTGTTAACAACTCTTTGCAGGACTATTTCATTATTCGAGCAGTCCAACATGGAGGGAGTGGTAGTCTGTCCGAAATTTACAAAAGAGCGCATCCATCTGAGACTTGAATTCATCTCTGCAATTATGGAGCCACTTTAGCATACAGGCAACATTCCAGTGAGCCCCAAATGTACGTGGAATTACAAAAAATACAAAGACCCTTTTGATGATGAGCTATAATTAAGGCTTTTTAAGCATTTTAGATGGATTTTTGATCCACTTTTTACAAAAAACAAAACACCTTAATGATGCTGCTGAATGTGTTATTGGAAGTAATGGATGTAAAAGAGAGCTGGCGTGGCTTTAAGTGTGAAACTATAGGGCAAAGGGGGCAGTGAAGGTGTATCTATGTTGGTCAGTAGTTGTGTGAATAGTCTGATATGGCCACCCAGCAAATGGCTATTTTTAAACTTGGGACATGGGCTGCTGGGCTCCATTGTGCTTCTGTATAGACCACAGAAATAAACACCTGCTACTGCTCTCAGCTCACCGTAATTATACACAGTTTTAAGTTGCTCTGTCAAGAAACACAGAGCTTTCCATCCATAAAGGATATATATTTATTCTGTGGCTTAAGAAACCATTTTTTCACCTATAAATGTTACAGCCACTCTGTCTTCATAGAAGTTATTCTAGGTGCATAAACCCAGCCTGCATTCAGTCAGGGTTTACTATAGAAAGAGAGTCAGTATTAGTGGTGCCTCCCACACAGGTCCGTGTCACAGACTCACCCCAGGGAGCCATGCTGGCTGTCAGAGGTATTAGAGTGAGAACAGAGCTGATAGTCTTTCAGCATGACTGTACTTCTATCAGCTCCTCTCTGAACACCCTGACACGATTACTACTGCTGCTGCTAGTGCTGATGGGATCTGGCTGTACAACACTCAGGCCATCTTCCGAACACACTCAAAGGCATGAATGGAAACATACACTCATTGGATGTTCATATGTCACCCCAGGTTGTTTGGGAAAGAATGTGTGCTTTTCCATTGCGTCACACGTCACTGACCTAATGCCATTACACTTGTTCTTCCACTATGGACTCTTATGGAAGTTTATTCTTTTGATTTGCAGCTTATTCTGTTTAATAGAGCTGCTATATGTATAGCATATATTGTATAGTTTTTTAGTGTATTGTTACAATTTTAATTGTTGTATAGTTTACTTAATTCTTGCTTATAAAAGTTTTAAATACACAGTACCTTTATCTTTATTTTTATTTTATTCCTATATATTCTAATTTTATTAGTACTCATATGCATCTTCTTGTTGTTGTCTTTTACAGCTGCAACACTTGAATTTAAGTCACCAATAAATCTTATCTGATCTTATCTTATATAAGTGAGACTGTTTAAGAGTGAAAGAGGCAAACTTTTATATAGATTCAAAGCAACAAATCACTTTTCCAACCTTTAAATGTGTACGCTTAAACTGATCTTTAATCCTAAATATTGTTTGTTGCACTGAGACTTCTTCTTATAAACTATATTTTGAGAAGGAGTTTTAAAAT